CTCTCTCAGTGAACGAATAGTGTCTTCAAAAACACACCGAACCAGCACATTTTTCTTGACAGACATGGACAAATACAAATGCTCATTGAAATACGTACAAGTGCAAAGGTAACGTAGACAGTGAGAGGGAACTCGAGCGAGCGCAGGTGGGAGGTGGACATAGGAAGGAAACAATCGATTAATTCATATACGGCAGTGATTTAGTGGCTGCTAAAACAGAATGAGTAAGACCTAAAAGATGAGATATGCGTTACATCGTAAAATACGACTTCATGAAGCCTAGGTGATAAAAGCGTCCAAAAGACAAGGTTGAAAGCCAATACTCAAGACACAAACAACAGGCATGCTGAAAAACATGAAAAAGTGCAGAGTACATCATCTTAAAAATACGAAATATTAGGAGAAATTAAAGCGGAGGAACCTATATGTTAAGTAAAGGCTGAAACCGCTCGACTGTTGAAAGATGGAGGAGGACAATACTCTTTCATCGTCTCATTATACTGCGTTGAGCATAGACGTGGTGTGCGTTTATGTGTATTTGTGTGAGTGCGGGTGCACATCCATGTGTGATATGGCAGAGTCATCATGTACACAGGCATCATGAAGCTGATATATAATCTGGCAGCAACTCACCATCCTCGTACCCACCTTCCGACTATCCTGAAGTGTATACAAATGATATTTTCACATTCTTGAGAAGAGTAGGAAACATGGTGAGAGAGAGAGAGAGTCGAGATAAGCGGGCGAATACACACAATTTCTTCCTGCACACACATCCGAGATACATTCTTCTTTTGATTACATTGCAGCCGTCAAATAAAAAGGTCCAGTCAGTGTATTATTTCTGTTGTGGCATTTGTTTAGTCTCTATATTTGTATAGCAAATGAGCTATTTACATTCAGCAGCTCTTTACTTTCTAAATCGCCACAGTTTGATCAAGGAGGAGCAGTAATATCACCCTAAAAGTAAGAAGAATCCAAGTTCTGTTTAAAACTGAACTGGGCAAAACTTGATTTAGAGCATCTATATCAGAACCAGATAGCACTTTGTGAAGATACGTTGCCGGTGATATAATTCCTCTTTCTCCATCTGACATCCAATCCCCATACACCTGGTTCTCCCACAGAAACGTTGATTGTAAAACGCGATACAATCAGCGCTTACGTCTCCCCGTCAACACTTCAGATAAACAGAACACTGACACCGTTCCATAAATACATCCAATACACGAAATATATTTCTTGCATTTATTTCAAGCTCAAAATTGTTACAAGTTTCAGATATTACCAATGGTAATTTCACATAAGAAGACACTCAGTGATCTGTGTGAAAACATTTCAGTGTGTAAGTGGTTGTTGTCCTCAAATAATTAGTCTGAAGTGTGAAATCGCTTACCTTTTTCAGTATGTGATATAAGTATAATAGATGTCCTTAAGGTTCAATCTCCATATTTTCACAGTGAAACATTTTGTGCATCATATGGTGTTGATAGACATTATACACTCTTGGCTTTTTTATGCTAAGTGGTGCTCTCTCCATCTTGCTACATTTTGAGCATTACGAATCCTCCATACTAGTGGTTTGTGAATCGTGGCATCGATGATGGGGCTATTTACAGCCCAGAGTTAAAAGTATGACACTGTTTCACCTGCATTTGTAAGAAGTCTGTCTTATCTTGTCAATTTAATGAAGTTTCAATCGACACTAGTCAAAGCCTTCCACATGTGAAACCAGTATGGCATCAGAATTCATGTTGGTGAAAATTTCATTCTGTAATCTCGTGTATCTATCAAACCTGATCGTTGGAGTTCAAAAATGTTAGAAGGTGCATGTGATTCAACCATTGCCATCCTTGTAGCATCGCTTACCTGTTGTCGAAGTACTATATCAGTGAAGTGTATGTACGACAGGAGATTTCGAAAACAAGACAGGACAGTTAGTGAAATTGAAAAGTTTGCTGGATGAAGTAGCTGTAGCATGCTGTAAATGTCAAACTGTCGTCTACTGCAATTTGAAATGCTGGCTGAATTGTGCTTTGAATACATGTTGAGTTGACTAAGTATGATCACGACGGAGTACCGATGCATCACTTTTCAGATATTTAGCTGTGGTTAGCTATAAGATGGTAGATGTTTAGGAGGGTAACATGAGGCGATCGAAATCATGGACAAGGGGAATGAAATATTTATTCATTTTGTATGAAATATGTTTTGAAATGAACGATACTGGCTTGTCTAATTATTAGCACAATATGCGCTTTGGGTTTTCGATGCTGTGGTATTTGCTGTGGTATTGTCATCCCCAGAGTCAGATGTGGATGAAGTGCTTTTACATGTGAAACATCTTGTGGTAACTAAGTCTTTCTGGTAACCTGACTTCAGTGTATGTATTTTTTTAATGCTAAATGTGCATAAACACTGACATTGTGAACTGTGAACCTCAATATCCCTGAATCTCATAACATGCCTATTATTTTATTCTCAATCATTTCACTTCGAGTGAGTCTTTCCTTAACTTTGACTGATCATTGATTCTGTCTCCCACGATAACTGGATTTTGCTGCTAATGATATCCTATCAGGTGATTGCTTACGACTTCAGTCAACAACTTTTCGCCAACATTTTCTTCTGAGTGAAAGGGACTTAATTTGAAACCTGCTCAAAATGGGTATTCAACCAGAGAAGTTAGGAAATCTACCGGTCAGCAGATAAGTGGGACGTAAATGTATTCGGATATTAGTGAACAGGAGAAACAACCGAACAGAACAGAACTATTCTCTCCTATGCAGAGGGAGAATATTTTGGCCGGTTCCGGTAACCATGTTGTTATTTCGAACTGTTGACAGTTAAAGTTTTACCAAAAAGATGAAGGGATCAAATTCATTATGCAAATGCTATTCCGTTTGACTAAATGAAAAGTTATCTGATGAAGTGACTGAGAATTGATGTACTTTGTGATATGAAATCTTCTACAGAGAAAAGGAGTTCTAGAATTACTGTGACGTCAAACTGAATGAATATGGGACACTGCATGTTTCTTCTAGGTAGAAATGCTGAATATAGTGATGTCATATGTTTTTGCTCTTAATAACACTCATGTTTGATTGCTCCTTGGTTTTTGTAAAAGACTTAGTCGTTATTAATTACATTTTCGACGCATTGTATTGGTGACGAAGCCTGTCGCATTGGTTATACTCTAAGTAGGCCTATTCTGGTGGAATGCAATACTTCATGTATCACGGAAACGTATCACTGTCACTCAAGCTGATATCTGAAGATTCTGCAAGTGTTGGTTGTGTAGCTAAGTGCATCTGAAGAACAATTCAGAGATCCTTCAAGAGAGATCCATCTGGTGAAAACTAACTCGAATTCCATGTTTGCTGTCTACTGCGACTTTCAGACACTTGGTCCATTGTGAAAGATTTCACGAAATGTTTCAATAAGCATCAATTTATAGTTGGCGTTTGCCAATTAACATCATTAAGAGGTACTGGTTCCTGAATCTCCATATCATGCATTCACCTGGTCACCATTTTCTTATTGAGTGTTGTGCCAACTTAGTCGTTTAGATGTTTCATATCGGTCAAACAATTTCGTGAAACCGGTCTACATTTCATATTTTCCCAACCAAACATTCACAATAATGACTTACTTCACATTTATGCTTTTGAGTGCAAGGGAATGCCTTATGAACTGTGGTCTAGTCGAATAGCACTTCGTCTTCACCCCTATGTTGTACACGTGGTAGCCGTATTGAAATCTGAATAAGGTGGTCAATGTAACACAATAAAATATCTCACAGTTTAATGTAGATACCAGATGAATGTTTAGATAAGACAGACTGGTTAAGCAGACTTCTGTCGATATTTGAAATTTTAGGATTTGTCCTGGTGCGAACTTGACAGACGCAAAGACCAATCACTAATTATTCGAACTTGTTATATACCCACGAATACAAGACCAAGGAAGAGCACGATAGCGTAGTCGGATGGAATAGTATATTTGGATGGTTATGCCAAAATACCGATGCGTTCCAACTAACTGGCTAGAGAGTCGAATACGAGCAATGCAACGTAACACGACAGCGTGCCAAATGGCGAGGATGCTTGACCGGGTGCCTTCAGCTTAGCGTGTCCAGTTAAACTATCAAGGTCAGCATCGATGTCGAAAGTCGTCAAACCCTAGGCTACTGATTTTGGGGAAGTGTATGACGCTACAAAATATTCAGTTGTTTCACAGACAGAGGCTCACTAAAATATTTTTGATTGTCTATTAAGGAGCAGGAACATAGCGTTCAAGCGAAACGTGGATATGAAAATCTTAAAGAAATTGAATACCACATAGATTGAAAAGAATGCTGGTATATTTCGTATTTATCTGAAGTACATTAATCAACGCTAAGCTGTATGTGCATTCAGCGAACTTAAAGGCCAATCTAGTAACCGCAACAAAAATCTACTTAAATGAAGAAACTCTTCAGTTGTTGTACAGGTATAATTTACAACCACCTTGCACACTTCCATGAATAAATCACATGCTGACAATATTCAAACCTCGCCTAGTTAACTGGTTCACTAGTTACTAGCCGGTCCTATGCCCTGGTAAAGAGGGAAAATGGTCCATAGGGCTAGAAACCCTACCCCGTAAATCCAATCCAACCGTTACAGAAACTTCAAAGCACAGACAAAATACAAGAAATAAAAACAAACTTATTCATCACTGTAATCGGAGGGGCGAAATGGCGCCAGTTGATGAAAGCATCCGGGAAGTCAATTGGCCTATGCGTATTCTTTCTTCTCGATGAAAGTGAAAGTAAGAATGGGGACATGGAATGTCCGCACCTTGTTTGAACCTACCAAGGCTGCCTAGATGGCCTAAGATTTGAGAAGGTGAAATGAAGGAGAATGGAGAATTGTTTGCAGACTTCTGGGCATTGGACGATTTGGTGATTGGAGGCAGTATGTTCAAGCACAAGAATATTCACAAAGCGACATGGATTTCACCAGATGAACACAATACACTAAAAATCAGATCGACTTCATCTCAATCTTAAGAAAGTGGAGACACAGCCTACTTGACACACGGTCAAGAAGAGGAGCAGATGTAGGTTCACATCACTCACTAACTAGTGCAAGAAACCTTCCAAATCAAGTTGAAAGCCTTCACAGAAGTTGGTGATAGACCACAGTTCAAGTACAACACTCGGAAACTGAAGGATGAAACTACAAAGGAAATCTTCACGTCAGCCATCAAGACAAAATGGGAAATATCGAGGAACGGCCCTGAAGAAATCTGTGTGGAAGAACGCTGGAAGTCTTTGAAAGCTATGGGGAAAGAAACCTGCACAGCGTCATTAGGAAGGAAGAAAAAAGAAGACAAGGAATGGATCTCGACGGACACATGGAAGCTGATAGAGTCGGGAGAGAAGAATGGTGTAGCAGAAGATGAACCAGTGTAAGGATGCTCAAAGAGAGAAGGAACTGAGTACAATGCATAAAACACTGGACAAAGAAGTGAAGAAGAGTGCGCGGACAGACAAAAGACACTTCTACGCAACACTGGCATTTGGAGCAGAACAGGCTGCAGGTAAGAGAGACCTGACAACATTGTATCAAATAACCAAGTTACTATCTGGGAAGAGATCAACACAGATGAAACCAATAAAAGATGATGAAGGAAACCTAGTTGCCAAAGAGGAAGAACAAAGGAAACAATGGGCTGACCACTTCAAAAAGCTCTTGAATCGACCATCACCACCACCACCACCACCACCACCTGCAACTTGTCCAGAAATACCACCTGCAGCCACAGAACTACCAGTGAACACAGGCCCTCCGACGAAAGTAGAAGTCTTGAACGCCATAAAGCCACTGAAATGAGGGAAAGCAGCAGGACCAGATGGAATCCCGCCAGAAACACTTAGAACAGACGCAGACACGATAGCGGACATGCTCACACCACTATTGCAGAAGGTGTGGAAGGAAGAAAAGGTACCTGCTGGTGGATTGGAAGAAAGGCTACTTTGTCAGACTCCCAGAGAAGAGCGACCTAAGTCTTTGCAAGAACAATAACTGGCGCGGAGTCATACCTCGCTCCTGTCCTCCCCAAGCAAAATATTAAGTCACATCATTCTGGAGAGACTAAAGGATGCGCTGGATTCAAAATTACGACCAGAACAGGCATTCTGGCTGGCTTCAGGAAGAACAAATCATATGCGGATCAAATCGCAACGCTACGCTACGTATCATCATGGAACAGAGCACAGAATGGCAGTCCAGTTAACTTTCTACCTCAACTTCATCGACTTTGAAAGGGCCTTCGACAGCGTCGACCGAGAAGTAATTTGGCAACTGCTTCAGCACTACTGAGTACCGCAAATCTTTATCAACCTCATTCAATAGCTATATGCGACATTATGCCACATGCTAAGTAATTCACGATGGGAAGCTCAGTGATGCTTTTAAAGTGAAGAAAGTTGTAATACAAGTCTGTCTGCTATCAGCGATGATGTTCCTCATTATGGGCAACGAGATCATGCAGCAAACCCTGAGGAGCAATAGGATGGGCATGTGCTGTGTGGAGCGGTCAAAAGTGCGTCGAAATTTCGATTACGCCGATGACTTGTGTTTTATATCACAAACTCTACAGGATGAGACTAACAATTTGACAGAAGAGGCCGGACGTCGGGACTCTGAGTTAACGTAGGGAAGTCAGAGGTGATGATTTTTCCTAATGTACATCACCGGACTGAGCATGCACTGAGAAGACCATTCGGGGATATCACGTGCACAGCACTCTAGTAGAAACCTTATGCGAAACGAGGAGTCTGGCAATGATGTCCTAGGGTGACATGGAGAAAATCGTGTGTGGAAGAAATGAGAGCTTGTTAGCAGTCGTCAAGCCAGGTTCAAAGGATTGCATAGAACAGAGTGAAATGTTGACGTGCTACTGAAGCCCTGTGTTCGATTCGGAAACAGAGGGACAAATAATAAATAAATGACAATATTCATGTTTGTAGCAATTTTCTTCAGAGGATGTGAATATTACCTCAATGCACTTCTTATGAAAACTTGTTATTCCGGAATATAAACTACTAAGTACTGTCTTTAATAGAAAGAGATTTTTATCAAGTAAATATTAACTGTTAAACTGGTTTATACTTACGATTAAATTTATCTGGTACGTTTTCAGGTCATCTGGAAATGAAATGAATCTCTCACCAGTAAAAGTGTATATATGCAGAGCGAAACTTTCATAATATCATTCTCAAGACAACATGAGGTCGAAAACGTTCCTCGCGTTTATGATATTGTACTTCCTGGCAAATTACGGTGAGTTATGTTTTTAAAATTCGTTTGCTTTATAAAAACAATTAGACTGATCTCTATTCGCTAATAGAGGTATAAGATATCATTAATATGTCAGCGGAAATGAAAACAGTAGAGCGTATCTACATAAATATAAATCTTCCATGAAAAAAAGAGAAGAGATGAAAATGGAAAGCCGAGAGAGGTTTCCCACACCGTGCCGACATATAATGAGCAAGTGATAAAATCAGACCCCTCAAATAAGAGACAGGCATTAATGAATGCGGGCAGGCAGTGAGGCAGTAGTGATACTAGGTGGCACAGTCTCAGACCGACCATGCGCGTGTGAATGCACTGATGCAGGTAGGCTGGTAGTGACGCACGGAGGCACGGAGGCAGGAGGCAGGAGGCATGGAGGCAGGGAGGCAGGCAAGCAAGGAGATATGCAATCATTCGGCCAATTATGGCAGGTGCGTATATTTGCTGGGAATCACAACCACAGAACACCTCTATTCTCCATCTATGCCTTCATGATAGATGCGTGAGAATATTTTCTCAATGCGCATGTCAGTAACCGAATAATTTCAGACTTCTCATGATTGACGAGTCTCCTCATCAACACAGAGTTATTGGGTGTGTGTTCAACTGAGGAATGCCTGATGATCACCGACCTGAGACAATGACGACCGATCAGCCGTCTATATGAGATTGGGTGACATGTGAGCTGGAGACTTGCCACATCACCAATCACTCGTTTCGACAACCACAGAGACTCGTTGATGGGTTGTTGTTGTTGTTGTTGTTGTTGTTGTTGTGCAGAGAATAGGAGGAATGCATCTGCACAATGGTGTACATGCGTACTGACAGGCGAGCGATTCGTGTGTCAGTGCAGATGAGAATAGCAGTCTGGTCTCAGTGTATGCGGATATTTGAAGATGCCATTGATTGTAGTGAAGTAGAGGAAGAGAATCGAGTGAGTATTATTTATGTGTTGGGTGTGTGCAGGTAGTGATTTTGTGTATGAGCCTGCTACTGACGACATGCTAGATGCATGCCTCTACATTTATACCTTGATTTGTGTCACTCATCTGAATGACAGAGATTGTGGTTGTTTTGCGTTTCAGGAGGGTATAGTAGTGGTGGTATCAGTGGTGAGTTTTTGTTTGATTGTATAAGATAATCCTAATTTGCGGTTGTATGAATTGTGTGTTGACATGAATGAGGTGAGGCAGGTCGGCATGCATGTTGGCCGGCAGTCATGAATGCGGGCAGGCAGTGAGGCAGTAGTGATACTAGGTGGCACAGTCTCAGACCGACCATGCGCGTGTGAATGCACTGATGCAGGTAGGCTGGTAGTGACGCACGGAGGCACGGAGGCAGGGAGGCATGGAGGCATGGAGGCAGGCAAGCAAGGAGATATGCAATCATTCGGCCAATTATGGCAGGTGCGTATATTTGCTGGGAATCACAACCACAGAACACCTCTATTCTCCATCTATGCCTTCATGATAGATGCGTGAGAATATTTTCTCAATGCGCATGTCAGTAACCGAATAATTTCAGACTTCTCATGATTGACGAGTCTCCTCATCAACACAGAGTTATTGGGTGTGTGTTCAACTGAGGAATGCCTGATGATCACCGACCTGAGACAATGACGACCGATCAGCCGTCTATATGAGATTGGGTGACATGTGAGCTGGAGACTTGCCACATCACCAATCACTCGTTTCGACAACCACAGAGACTCGTTGATGGGTTGTTGTTGTTGTTGTTGTTGTTGTTGTTGTGCAGAGAATAGGAGGAATGCATCTGCACAATGGTGTACATGCGTACTGACAGGCGAGCGATTCGTGTGTCAGTGCAGATGAGAATAGCAGTCTGGTCTCAGTGTATGCGGATATTTGAAGATGCCATTGATTGTAGTGAAGTAGAGGAAGAGAATCGAGTGAGTATTATTTATGTGTTGGGTGTGTGCAGGTAGTGATTTTGTGTATGAGCCTGCTACTGACGACATGCTAGATGCATGCCTCTACATTTATACCTTGATTTGTGTCACTCATCTGAATGACGTTTATTCTGATATGGGTTTCTTTTCAGGTGACCTCAGTGGTGATACACTTCTCTGTGAGTTAGTTTCTTGTGATTTTTATTAGTCCCTTGGATTCCTCATGAATCATTTGGCTTCATCAGCATGTCTCGTCTGAAATCTGTTCTCTTGTATGTTTTGACCCTGGCTCGACGACAGCGCACATTCTCTCATTTCCTCCTCGCACAATCTCCTCCATGTTACCCTCGGGCGTCCAACTCGTCGCTCCCCATGTTTATCCCACTTGAGGGCCTGGCGGGTCATGTCCCCGTCGGCCCTCTCAGTTTATGCCCTATCCATCTCCTCTTCCTTCTGCATATTTGTTGGATGATAGGTCCTTGGTTGGTTCGTTCGCAGACCTACTTGTTGCTTATTCTTTTTTTTCTGGCCATCTGATCTTCAGTAGCGGGCGTAGGCAGTTGTTGATGAATGTCTATAGTTTATTGGAAATCCCTTTTGTAACGCGCCAAGTCTCTGAGCGATACAGGAGCACTGACTTGACGTTGGTGTTGAAAATCCTGATCTTGTACCGCATACTTTTTTGAGTGCAGAAGATCTGCATACTGGTTTCAGGCTAATGAACGCCTGTCTTGCTTTTCCGATCCTGGTTTTGACGTCCTCATCTGTGCCTTTTTTGCCTGTAGTTGAAACAGTGCTGCCTAGATAGGTGAAGGAGGCTATTTCCTTTAAGTTTCTCTCGTTGATGGTGATTGGAGTTTGTTGCTGTTGTTGGTGTTGTTGGTTGGGTATCTTCATCACTTCTGTCTTCTCTATATTCACCTGAAGTCCCGTCTTCGCTGCCTCTCATGCCAACTTGTTTGTTTTCGCCTGTAGATCTTCAAGTTTGTGTGACATCAGACACAATTCATCACTGGCGAAATCCAAGTCTTCTAGGTTCTTGACCGCAGTCCCGCATATCCCCCTCTTCTCGCTCCCCACTGTTTGCTACATGATCCAGTCGACCACGATCAGGAATATCATGGGGGATAGTAGGCAACCTTGTTTCACTTCTGTCATCACTTTAAAGGCATCACTGAGCTTCCCATTGTGAATTACTTGGCATGTGGAGTCTTCATATATTTGTTGAATGAGGTGGATAAAGGTTTGTGGTATTCCATGGTATTGAAGCAGTTTCTAAATTACCTCTCAGTCGACGCTGTCAAAGGCCTTCTCAAAGTCGATGAAGTTGAGGTAGAGAGTTAATGGACTGCCATTCTATACTCTGTTCTAGGATGATGCGAAGCGTTGCAATTTGGTCCGCACATGATTTGTATTTCCTGAATCCAGCCTGCCTGTTACGGTCGTAGTTTTGAATCCAGCGCATCCTTAAGCCTCTCCAGGATGATGCGGCCTAATATTTTGATTGCTCTGAGTGGACAGGAGAGTGATTCCGCACCAGTTCTTGCGAAGACTTAGGT